CAAACGGCCCAAGAGAGCCCCAGGGCGCGCCCAAGAGGGTCGACCAGAGAGTTGGTCCGACCATCCACACTCTACACAGGGTCAGTGCCCGGCGGTGCCTCAAGCAGGTGTTGCCACTGGGGTCTTCATTTGCCTGAGACAAGCTCCAAACATTTCTTCGCACAGCGACTCGTGTGTCCGTGACGCGCCAGAACCTAAGCGCGCGCGAAGCGCGCGTGGTTTTAGTGGAATATATTAGAACGAAACTTTTAGTTTGCAGGGCATTTGGGCGTTTTGCCTTTGCCGAATATCAGCTTGCGGCAATTAAAGAGAGAGAGAGAGAGAGAGAGAGAGAGAGAGAGAGAGAGAGAGAGAGAGAGAGAGAGAGAGAAGGAGAGAGACAGAGAGAAAGAGAGAAAAAGAGAGAGAGAGAGAGAATCAAAACAGTTGCAAGAGGTGGGGCGCCGTCGACGCGCGTGCGTCGTCGCGCGCACATGCCGGCTCACGCAAATTTATCGACGTGGAGATCCCCGGACGCATGCCTTATACTCCTGTCGCTTCTCGTTGGGGAACAGCGAGTCCGCGTAGAAGACAGACGCGACAATGGCGACGACGACAACAGCGAAGACTTCAGGGACCTCCTACTCTGGACATCTGTCAGGAGAGATGAGGGAAACACAAGTGGAAGAGCGAGGGTGAGTTCCTTTTGCCGTTCCCCCCGCGGCAACTCGGGCAGCTGCGCATGGAGTTGTTTCGCCAGTTCTCTGGCGCGCTACTCGCGGCGCGCAGCGGCGCCCGGGGTGGCAAGTGCCGCGCCACTTGTATCGCGGCAGTCATGCGCGCGTGAGCCTTAGCGCGGGCGAAGCTGAACGGGGGTGATTTGAACGCAAGCGAGTCGGAGCGTGGTGTGAGCGAGTCCGGATATAAACAGCGTGGGGACGAGTGAGTCCGAACATGAGTGAATCCTGGCGCGAGCGGGTCTAAGTGCGAGGGGGTCTGAGTGCGAGTGAATATGGGCATGGGTGCGTCTGATTTTGAATGTAATGAAGATATATGTGAGTATGCATGAACGGGAGAAAGTAGTCTGCGCGCGAGTGGGTCTGAGGGCTTGTGAGTTTGAGCGTGAGCGAATATGACTGCGAGTTGGTCTGGGCGCGGGTGGGATTGCTTGATTATGAGCGAACCTGAATATGAGCAAGTATGCAGGAACTGCTCCGAACGCGGAAGGCGCTGGGCATGCGAACAGGCACGCCGCCTGAAACGCCCCCTCAATCTGAGCGCGAGTCTACGCATGCCCCCACCTTTTGGGAACACTCAAACCAGCGTTTCGCTTGAGACATCCTCAGGATCAGCTCCCAAAGCACGGGGCGCTGGGCGCGCAAACCGGCAAACCGCCTGACGCGCCCCCGCATTCCGGGCGCAAATCCTGGAGCGCCTTCACCCCGTGGCGCCCCTTTTGGAGTGTTGAAGCCAACACCTCACCTGAGACATCTTCAGAACCTGCTCCGAATGCAAAAGATACCGGGCATGCAACCAGGCAAACCGCCTGAAACATTCCAGAAGCTGGGCGCGAATCCGCGAGTGTCCTGACACCTTGCGCCCCCCGTTCAGCAGCAATGAAACCAACGCCTCGCTTGAAGCGCCCGCTGAATTTGTTCCGAAAGCTCGGGGCATCGGGCATGCAAACAAGCACAACCGTCTGAGACATTCCCATTACCTGGGCGCGAATCTTGGAATGTCCTGATCTTTGGCGCCCCTCCCTGGGGTGTCAAACTGCTCCGCCTGCCGCGTCGCGGGGGGCATAGGGCCACCAGCGAGCGCGAGTGAGTCTGAGCTTGAGTCCGAGATGAGCACGAGAGTGCGTTAGTCTGAGTGCGGTTGAGTCCGGGAGTGAGCGAGTCCAAGTTTGACTGGGTCTGAGTATGCGGAGTATGAGTGAGTCTGAGCGCGAGGAAGTCTGACTGTGAACGAGTCTGAGTGCGAGTGGACCACACAGTACGAGTGGATCTGAATGTGAGCGGGCCTGGGCGCTAGCGAATCAAAGCATGACTGAGCACTAGTGAGTTTGAGCGTGCGTGAGCAATTTTGATTGAGGAAGGGAAGGAAGAGGAGACGAGGAGGAGGAGGAGGTAATCGGAGCCGTCTAGTAATATCAAACGACCATCTTAGCACACGGAAAAAAGTCAGGTGTCTCACTGATTTCATGCTCGCTGTTCCCGAACGAATATGGGACAACGAAAACCCATGGTTTTGCACCGCGCGCGCGTTCTTGCAATTTGCGACGCGCGCATGCCGAATCCATCGCCGAAGCGCGGACGCCATCGTCGTCGCCGGCGCGGTCAGCATCGGCGCCGTCATTGGCCTTGCCGTCGTCATCGCCATCGTTGTCACCGGCGTCGCTGCTACCATCATCGCGCCTGCCGTTGTCGACGTCGTCATGGTGCCGTGCCCGCCCGAGTCACCGACTCGCAAAGAAGTGCCCGCGCGTCAGCGCTGCCTGCGAGACGCGCCGGGAAGTCCCCAGCGGTCCGCGCCGCCGCGGCCGCGTCGGTCGCGCCAGCCTACTGGCCGCCCTGCGCGCGAGCGCGCGCGCTAGCGCAACCGCAGCGATGCGCCAGCCAGCCCCAAGCAGTCATCGCATTAGTCGCCGCATGGGATTCGCAAATCAACTTGCGGATGGGCGCGTGGGATAATTGTGCGAGCAACGGAATTGACAACCCACTAGTAATCTTCCCATCCCCACCCAGTCTTTGCCCGATCGTCAAATTTAACAATGAATTCGCACGAAGCCAGGCCAGCTAGCATCAACGCCCCGCTTCACCCACATCAAATATCAGCACGCGCGCAGACCCCACTATTAAGAATCATCCGCGCGCAAGAATCCCGCGCAACAGACGCATTGAACAAAGCCATCGCGCGCGTGTCGCGTTTTCGCGCGCACGCCGAAACTGGTCAAAAACTACGTTTCGCAAGGAGCTAAAGATCGAGATCTTCGATCACATACGACACATCGGTGTTGCAGCATGGCCAGGCAAAACGCGTTTGCGCGTTTCTTCGATGTCATAAACCATTGGTTGTTCAACATGTTCATCAGATGCGACAAAGCGGCCTCTTAGCGCGCGCGTGCAGACATCAGTCGAACACCTTTGCGCTCTTGCGGGGGGCACTGATCCCGCGCCCTAAAAAAAACATGCCCAAGCGCGCGTGGCGTCGCGCGCGCGCGCCGGCATGTCTCAAAAACCGTAGGTCTCGGATTCCAAGACCGACGTCCCCGAGAACAAATGGAACAACATAGCTGCGCAGTGCGAGTTTTCACAGAAGTCCGCGTGCTCTTGCGACTTCTCACGAAAACCAGAGGGGCCTCTCGTGCGTGCGCGTCGAAATCATTGGAACGCTGCTGCGCGCTTGCTGGAGGGCACGATCCCTGCCCAATGATATTCCATGCGGGCTACGCGAGCCCGTCGGCCGCGCGCGCATGACAAAATCCGCCCAAAAAAATTGTTTTATCGCCGACGCGCAAGCACCATCATCGTCATCGACGTGGTCAGCATCGGCGCCGCAATTGGCCTCCCCGTCGTCATCGTCATTGTCGTCACCAGCGCCGCTCCTATCATCATCACGCCTGCCCTTGTCGACGCCGTCATGATACCGTGCCGTTCCCAACCACCGGCTCGCACTGTTGCGCCCGCGCGCCAGCGTGGCCTGCGAGACGCGCTGGGAAGCCCAAGCGGTGCGCCAGCCAGCGCTAAGCAGTCATCGCACTCGCCGCCGCAAGGGTTTTGTAAATCAAGTTGCGGGTGAGTGGGTGGGATGATTGCGCGAGTAGTGGAGCTGACAGTCCTCTGCGAGCCCAACAAATCGTTACACCGCGCAGATTGCACCGCACATGTTGCACCACGCGGGTTGCACCACATAGATTGAACAACGTAGTGCGCACCGCATAGGTTGCACAACATGGAATGCACAACGTAGATTGCACCGCACAGATTGCACCGCATAGCCTACACTGCACATAATGCACCACGCATGTTGCACCACGTAGTTTGTTCGACGCCGATTGCCCATCATGTCTTGCGCCACAAAGATCGCACACCATTCGCCGCACAACCTCTATTGCACAACATAGATGACACAATGCAGCTCGCACTGCAAAGGGTGCACCACATGAATGGCATCTCACACGTTGCATCACGCATGTTTGGAGTCCACGTTTGCCAGCATATGACGTTCTTTGAAGTGAATTGTGTCTCGCTTTTTGATTGAGCACGACCGTGCGCTGTATGTGTTCAAGTTTGTTAGTTTGTTCGGCAGGAGTCACGTCCGCGCATGGCCGCTCCCGTGGATCTGGTCGGGACTGGCGCGCACCTCGCGGAGCTCTGGCTGCTGCGAGGTCACCCCTGCCCCCCATGCCCGCCGCGCCCGGCGCAGACCTGCTCGTTCGCGTGCAGCGGGCCCGCCACGACCCACACCGAGCCGTTTGAGGCTCACTCGCCAGACGGGCCCGACTGGGGCGCTGTGTGGCTGGCCACTGCGCTTGGGGCGGCGCTCTCCTGGGCCGTGGGGCGCCTCTGGCCGCGGCATGACAGGCGGCCCGCCGGGCCGGCGCCGCTGCCGCCGCCCCCGATCGCCGCGCCTGGCGCAACAGGGCCGGTGACGCGCAGTCAGCTCGCCCAGCGGGTGCGAGAGGGCCACGGCGCACCTCGCCCTCGACCTGCCCGAGCCGCAGGTGCTGATCGACTATCCTGACGATGCGGCGGGCCTGCGGTGGCATCGTAGATTGCTGCTCATCCAAGTGAGCCCAGGCGCGTGGACTGCGAGCACGCCCGACTACTCGATTCAAAAGGCTCGACTTGAACGCCTTCCGCGTGGTCGCGCTGGGGCGCAACAGCCCCCATCCAGCCGCTCAGTGGAACGCGAGCTACGTGGTCAACAACCCCGTGCCTGCCGCCGACCTGGCGCGTGTTCGGCAGCAGGCGGCCTCGGTCGCTCTCGTCTTGGGCGTGGCGGCGCCTGCGGCTTAGGTCCGTGGAGCTGGCGCCGGAGTCTGGCGGGTCGCTGACCCCTCCGCTCGCAGTTTTGGCGACGAGGTGCCGAGTCAGATTCTCTCGGACGCGACTGCCTTCATGACGCCCGACGCCGCCAGCGATAAGGATTACATCAGCGGGCTGGTTTTGATCGACAAATTCTGGACGTTCTGCCAGCTCGTGAACGACGAGGATAGAGACGCCTGGGAGAGCGCGCTGGTTTCGGGCCACAAGCGAGACTCTCGGGTCACTGGAGACGTGTGGGGCCCAATCAAAGGACAGCGCTTCTTGTCCTTCACCGAGTCGCTGGGCCTGCAGCGCACCGCCCCTCAGCCACCCTTTCCGCTGGGGGGTCAGCGGGCGGCGCATGAGTTCACGCGGGCCCTGCGTGCGACGGGCATGGAGCGGGTCACCCACCATCTGGACTTCGATCACAAGTCGGGCATCTCGCCCAACAGCAACATCACGCGTGCGCACCGTCGGATCACCGACGCCCTGCACGACTTCCAGCAGCAGGACCAGCTGAAACTCCCGAGCCTCGCAGGCGTCGAGGTTATCGTGCGGTATCTGGTGCAGATCGAGTTGGCGGTGGGCCGCAAACCTCGGAGTCCAGACTTCCAGGACTTCGACGCTGTCGTCGCGCCCACCGTCACCGAGCATTGCGGCCTATTCCTGTCGGAGCACTCGAAGCACACCGCGCAGATCCAGAAGGGCGAGGCTTTCCGCTGAAGCAGCAGCGGCAGTGGCGCGAGGAGCAGACCTCACGCGCCCGAGGCCGCGGTTCGGGTGGCGGCGAGGATGGGGGGCGGCGGCGCCGGCGGCGAGGGGGGCGGCGCTGGCGGCAGTCGCGGCCGAGGCCGCGGGCAAGGGCGCGATGGCGGACGAGGGCGCGACGGTCGAGGCGACCCCTCGCCTGTCGCTTGGGTTGCGGAGAGGCGGCGCTCACCCTGGCGTCGCTCGGCCAACGGTACTTCCGCAGTCCGATTCTCTGGGGGTCGGACGAGGGGCCCTGCTGCTGAAGGGGCTCCTCGGTTTTTGACAGGTCGCGCTCGCGGCGACCCTTTCCCTCTGCCACTGCTAGACAGAACGACGCCGACGGGGGCGCTGCCTGGGGGCATCTCGTCTGGCGTGCGGTGGCGGTGCAACCAGACCATCATGGCGTTGAACGACCTGGGCGCGCCGCTGGTGGCAGCGCGGCGTCTCGCCTCCGCCTTCGCGGTGAACGCTGCCCAAGCATCAGTGCTACAGCGTGGTCATCAGCGAGTGGCCGCTTTCGGCGATCCCCTCGGCGTGGACGGCGACGAAGCGCTTCTGACCCTTCTGAAGACCAAAGACATGTATAGCGCTCGACCGACACCAGTTCGGTCCTACGAGCCGCACCTCCTCAAGGTTCTCGACAGCGGCATTCGGCCGCTACCCTTCCGCTCGCTGGCGCCTGCCTCGCTGCTGCCGCTGATCGAGCAGCCAGAGCGTTACCTATACCGCTCGCAAGCCGTCCTGGACACCATGGTCGAGGCTGGCGAGCTTGCCCCAGCGCGCCCGTTCTGGGGCGCCAACCTGCGCGGCGACCCGACCTTGCGCCTCGACCTCTCCATGGAGCTCATGCGCATCGGGCTGGTAGGCGTACGCACTACGCACGCGCTGCTGCGCTCGCGCCAGCATTTTCTTCGTCGGCAAGAGAGACGGCACGCTTCGGATGGCGATCGACGGCAGGGGGCCCTCGGCCATGCACCGCCGGCCTCCTCGCACTGAGCTGGGGTCCGCGGCCGCCCTCAGCGGCCTCTGCCTTGACGGCGGTTTGCTGGGCAACAGCGACTCGGGCCACCACGGGGCTAGTGCTGACCTCCGCCAAGGGTTCTACCAGATGCGGTGGCTCGAGGTCGGCAGCTGGTTCTGCTTCGACTGCCCGATGGCCGTTCGCAACTTCGACACCGACTGCGTCTACGACGAGGCGAGCCGCGAGCACGTGCTCGTCGACCCAGACACCATCGTGCACCCGTGCTTCCAGGGGCTCGCCATGGGCTGGAGGCGGTCGCTCTTAATCTGCAACGCCATCGCCGAGGATGTCACGCGCATCGGCATTGGCCAGGTGCTCTCCATCCCCGCCAGCGACGCGAGGATCGTATCCGAGCGGGCCCCGTGCGCGCGACTGGTCCCAGGCGACCCGGCTGGCTCCTCTTGCGTGGGCAATTCGAACGCGGCGGGCTCGCCCCGCACCCTAGTCGACGCTGCTCTGGAGGCCATCCTGCGTGAGTTCGAGAGACGGGGCTTATCATGCCACGAGGTCCCCAGATCATGCGTTACCGAAAATTTTCGGTCGCGACCGACGGTCTCGGTCGTTTCGTCGTTCCCGAAATTTTTCGGGAACGGTTACCGGGCGCGACCGGTCGCGACCGGTCGCGGAGATCGGTCGCGACCGGGCGCGACCGGTCGCGACCGACCGTTGCCGTCAGACCAAACAGGTCGATTTGTCAGATTCGTGTTTTGGCGTTTCGGATTCAGGTGATCATCAGCATCATCATCATTTCACGAGCATCACCATCATAATCATCATCACCTTCATCATTCATCATGATCATGGTCATCATCATCACCACCACCCTAACAATCACTATCGTATTCGTCAACATCATCATCATCATCATCAAGAACATCGTCATCACAAAGTCTAGTACATAATTATAATAGTGCGGATGAGGAGGAGGGGGAGGAGGAGGGTAATAAGGTGGAGGAGGAGCAGGAGCAGGAGCAGGAAGAGGAGGAAGAGGAGGATGGGGAGGAGGAGGAGTCACGGCAGGACGGGAGGGGCCTCGCGCGCTTGCTTGCCAACCTGGGAGGGCGCGAGGGGCCGCGCGCGCTTGCGTGCTTCCCTGGGGAGCAGCTGGGAGGAGTGATGGGGATGGTGATGACGATGGTGATGGTGATGGTGATAGTGATGATGATGATGTTGAAGATGATGATACGATGGTGATGATGATGTTGATGATGACGACGAGGACCGACGCTGTAGCGGCCCCAGGATGGTGATTGTGATGAGGAGGAGGTACAGGAGGAGGAGGAGAAGGAGGAGGAGGAGGAGGAGGGTAAGGAGATGGAGGAGGAGCAGGAGGGGGAGGAGGAGGAGGAGGAGGAGGAGGAGGATGGGGAGGAGTATGAGTCACGGGAGGACGGGAAGGGCCGCGCGCGCTTGCTCGCTTCCCTGGGGAACAGCTGGGAGGGAATGATGGGGATGATGATGACGATGGTGCTGATGATGATAATGATGATGATAATGATGATGACGATGGTGACGATGATGATGATGATGATGACGACGACGACGACGATGATGATGATGATGATGATGACGACGAGGACACGGAAGCTGTAGCGGCCGACGCTGTAGAGGCCCTATGATGGTGATGGTGATGATGCTGATGATGAGTATGATGAACATTGCGATGAATATTGCGATGTTGATGGTGATGTTGGATGTGGTGTTGATACGGGTGGATGATGACGATGGTTCTTGTCTGCCACCGTGGACTTCGCGATACGGGTGGATGGGATTACCATGCGATCACGATGATGATGACGATGCTGATGCCGACGGTTATGACGACGATGCTGATGATGGTGATGGTGATGATGATGATGATGTTGATGATGATAATGATGGTGATGGTGGTGATGATGTCTTCATCCTCCTCCTCCTCCTCCCCCTCTTCCTTCCCCTCCTCCTCCTCCTCCTCCTCCCCCTCCTCCTCATCTCTCCTCCTCCTCCTCCTCTTCATCCTCCTTCTCCTCCTCCTCCTCCTCCTTTTCTCCTCTTCCTCCTCCTCCTCACCAGCGCCATTTTGGCTAGTCCAGATCTCGGGCCCTGTCGATCGGCCCTTTCGGACCCCTCGATGCCCCGTCTCGCCCCTCGTGTGTCTCCCAGGGCTTGCAAGTCCCAGCCCCTGCCCCGTCGTCCTTCGGTTCCCTTGAGTGGGGACCTGGAGCAGGGGCTGAAGGAGCACACGGCGTCCGTCGGCTGTGCGAGAGCATTCGAACTAGGCCTTTACCACACCCTTACCAAAGATAAGGCCGCCCATGGACCGTCGCTGGCTAAGAACCCCGAGCTGGCGGGCGGGCTTACAACACCCCTCCTCCTGCTGTTCCTCACCCCTCGTCCCCTCGCACCCCTCGCCCTCGCCCTCACCCCTTGCCATCACCTTCGCCCTCCTCCTCGCCCCTGAAGTTCCGACCCCCCCTCCCCTCCTCCTCCTCACCTTCGTCCTCCTCACCTCATGTTTACACTCTTCCTCATCCTCCTGCTCCTGCTCGTCCTCCTCCTTGTCGTCGTCACTTCCTAGTGATTTCATGCCCAGGTGGAGGTGCTGCTTCGGAACTCGCCCGAGGCCGAGCCGCCCTGGGCTCAGCTGCGCGACGCTTGCGTCGCGGTGCTGACCGAGTAACCCACGGAGGAGGAGTAGGAGGAGAGGAGGATGGGATGAGGAGGAGAAGGGGGACGCTGATAGGATGGGAGGAGGAAGAGGAGAGGAGGAGGAGGAGGAGGAGGACGATGATGATGAGGAGGACGAGGAGTAGGAGCAGGATGAGAGGAGGAGGGTGGAGGAGGATGGAGGCGGATGGGGGATGGAGGAGGAGGAGGAGGAGGAGGATGTGAGAAGGAGAAGGATGATGATGAGGATGATGAGAGGATGAGGGGGACAGGAGGGTGGGAGTAAGAGGAGGGCGACGAGGAGGATGACGAGGAAGTGAGGATGAGGGGTATAATGAGGAGGTTGATGTTGATGTTGGTGATGTTGATGGTGATGATGATGGTGGTGCTGATGGCGATGATGCTGCTGATGATGATGCTGCTGGTGATGATGATGATGATGACGATGGGGATGATGGGGATGTTGACGATGATGATGATGTTGATGATGCTGATGCTGATGATGAAGATGTTGATGATGACGATGATGATGAATCGGGTGAGAGGGATGATTGTCCGCGAGGTACCCTCGGGCTTCCAGGGAACCAGCTGGGAGCCCTGAGGAGCGAGGCGGCAGCCTCGCTGACAAGTTGTCGTGCGTGTACAAGCACCTCAGGCGCTTGCGCGACAACCCCGTGCGGCGCCGCCAGGCATCGGATGACGACGGCGACGAGGGGAGGGGAGGAGGAGGGGATGTGAGGAGGGAGGGGAGGAGGAAAAGAAGGAGGGAGGTGGAGGAGGAGGGGAGGATGAGGGGGCGGAGGAGGAGGGAGGAGGAGGCGGGGCAAGAGGAAGAGGGAGGAGTGGCATGAGCAAGAGTGGGAGGAGGAGGATGAGGAGGAGGGGCAAGAGGGTGATAGGAAGGGACAAGAGGATGAGGAGGAGGAGGAGGAGGAGGAGGAGGATACCGACGTCGGTCTGACGTCTGTCTGACGTCTGTCTGACGTCGGTCTGACGTCGGTCTGACGTCGGTCTGACGTCAGACATACGTCGGTCTGACGTCGGTCTGACGTCGGTCTGACGTCAGACCTACGTCGGTCTGATCGATCTGACGTCGGTCTGACGTCAGACCGACGTCGGTCTGACGTCGATCTGACGTCGGTCTGACGTCAGACCGACGTAGGTATGACGCCAAATCGACATCGGTTTGACGTCAGTCCTACGTCGGTCTGACGTCACACCGACGTCAGACCGACGTCGGACCGACGTCAGCCTGGCGTAAGATGCAAGCCAGTCCATGTTGAATTGCACCGACCAGCAGAAGCAGAACATCGTCTACGACCTGCACCTGATGGGCGTCGACGTTCCTCATCCTGAGCCTGCATCCTCACCGAGGTCACCGTTCTCCTTCCTGCTCATCCATATCAGTATCCTTCTCCTCCTCCTCCTCTACCTCCTCCTCCTTCTCCTCCTTGTTCACCTCGTGCTTCTCCTCCCCCATCGTCACCACTGCCTTTGCCGTCGTCCTCACCAGCCTCACCGCTCTCCCCCTCCGCCCCCCTCCTCACCCCTCCTCCTCGTCCTCCCCCTCCTCCTCGTCCCCCCCCTCCCCCCTCTCCTCCTCGTCCTCCCTCTCGTCCTCGCCCCCCTCGCCCTCCTCCCCCCCCATCCTCCTCGTCCTTCTCCTTCTCATCCTTCTCCTCCTCCTCTTCCGCATTCGCCTGCTTCTCCTCCCCCCTCTCCTCGGTCATCGGGGACGGCTTCGACCCCTCCGCCGAGGCGCGCGCGGATTGGTGCCATCTACACCCCGCCCGCGCCGCCGCTGGCCATTGACGACGAAGGCAGTGCACCGAGGAGGAGAAGGAAAGGGCGAGGGAGGATCAGGATGATGATCATGAGGAGGAGTAGGACTAGGAGTAGGACTAGGCGACGGAGGGCGTGGAGGAAGAACAGGAGTGAAGATGAGTGAAGAAGCATTGACGAGGAGGGTGAGGAGGACGACGAGGGAGAGGAGGTGGACTAGGAGTAGAAGAACGAGCCAGTACCCAGCGGCGGAAAAGGTGGAGTAGGTGGAGTGGCAGGAGGTGGGGGAGGAGGCTCGGGTGTCAGGAGGAGTAATCGGAGGTGTAGGAGTAAGGGGATGTGGAGTAGGTGGGCTGGTGGGAGGAGGAGGAGGAGGAGGAGGAGGAGGAGGTGGAGTCGGAGTGGGCGCGCGGCGTGAGGCAGCGACGAGGCCGAGGAGGATGTGGCGTCGAACTTCGACGACAGCCAGCTTGAGGAGGAGATGGCGTTGAACCTCGACGATGGCGAGCTGCAGGATGCTCCGACGCTCCGCCGCTCGCTCTTTCCCCATCATTGCCCTCCCCCTCACACGAACTACGTACCCCTGTCCTCGTCCCATTCCTCCTCCCCCTTCCTCCTCGCCCCACCCGCCCCTCCTCCCCCATTCCTACCCCATCCTCCCTCCTCACCAGTACTCCCCTTCCTCCTCCCCCTTCATCCTCCTCCCTCCTCCTGATGGTGATATGGTTGTAGCGGATGCGATCGTAACTTGTATGATATGGTGATGTTAATGGTGGCGGTGATGATGATGTTGCTGATGATGATGGTGACGATGATGATGACGATGATGATAATGATGGCGATGATGATGATGATGATGCTGACGACGCTGATGATGCTGATGCTGATGCTGATGATGATGGTGATGGTGGTGGTGCTGATGCTTAGCATTAGTAATATTAACATTGCCATTATTATTGCAGAGCGCTAAGCTGCGCTGGCTACGGCAGAAGCCAGCCAAGGCGCCAAGACGGTCCAAGAGGCGCCCAAGACGGCACACGACGGCCCCAACAAGGGCCCAAAAAGAAGTTCACGAACCG